GGAATGAACTAAGGAGACATGACATGATATTGAACTCATTTTGCCATGAAGGACATTATTGGGACAATTGGCAAAATTCATATGGTATGTTTGAGGATAGGTAATAGTGTATCAATATTGATTTCCTGATTTTGATGGTGATGGTTGTATTGTGTCATATGTGAGAATGTCCTTGTTTGTGAGAAACACACTCTAAAGTATTCAGGTATGGGGCATGTCTTTCCGCTGTACTTCCAACTATTCTGTAAGCTTGAGTTTGGTTTTTAAAAATTACAGTAAAATGAAGGCCCAGCCTTCATCTTTCCAGTTCTGAAGTTCTCTTGTTCCCAGATCCAGCCATATTTTTTTTTTTTTTTAAGATTTTTATTTATTTGACAGAGAGAGACACAGCGAGAGAGGGAACACAAGCAGCAGGAGTGGGAGAGGGAGAAGCAGGCTTCCCGCGGAGCAGGGAGCCTGATCTGGGGCTTGATCCCAGGACCCTGGGATCATGACCTGAGCCGAAGGCAGACGCTTAACGACTGAGCCACCCAGACGCCGCCCAGCCATGTTTTTGTTCCTGGTTCTAATTCTGTTTTCCAAGAAGGAAATTTTTATTATTATAAGATGTTATGGAAAAATCCTTTTTCTTCTTTAGTTCTTCATGGGAGATGAGGAATTCATGTTTTTTTTTTTTAAATAATTTGTTTATTACCAAGCCTATAGTTTGCTTTGTATTTCATAAACGTTGTTTTTTGTTTTTATTTTTTTTTTTTAGAGAGAGAGCAGGTGCACAAGTGGGGGTGGAATGGGGTGGGGAGAGGGTGAGGGGGAGAGGGAGAGAGAGAATCTTTTTTTTTTTTTTTTAAAGATTTTATTTATTTGACAGAGAGAGAGACAGCGAGAGAGGGAACACAAGCAGGGGGAGTGGGAGAGGGAGAAGCAGGCCTCCCGCTGAGCCTGGGACATGGGGAGGAGATAAAATCTTTCAGCATGTCCTCTCTGTGTCCCAATGACTATTCTCTGTGCTACCTTACCTGTTTCTCTCTCATTTCAAAAAGGGAGGTGCCCTTGTTCTTCCCCAATGGACATCCTTTCCCAGTCCTTAAGTTCTTGTTCTTTTTTATTTGCTCTTTTGCATTTATTTATACTTACGTATTTTCATCCCTCTCAAATACCTACTTTTTAAAACCACTTCTGGGGCGCCTGGGTGGCTCAGTCATTAAGCGACTGCCTTCGACTCAGGTCATGATCCCGGAGTCCAGGGATCGAGTCCCACATCGGGTTTCCGGCTCAGCAGGGAGCCTGCTTCTCCCTCTGATCCTCTCCCCTCTCATGCTGTTTCTCTCTCTCTCTCTCAAATAAATAAATAAAATCTTTAAAAGAAATAAAAACACTTCTGATCATTTTTCTTACTGTCCAGTGGCTTATTCTTTTTTTTCATGAGTTAATTTTGATTCAGCAATCCATGTATTCATTTATTCACTCATTTTTTTAAAGTATCCATTTATTGATTTTTCTAATTAATGAAAGTCTCTTCTAGGGTCTTGTATGAGAAGAAATAAAGCATAGTAAGAACCAGGCTGCTGGGGTTTGATTTCTAGCTCTATCATTTGCTAGCTTACCTTGGACAACTTGCCTCAGTTTCCTTATCTGGAAAATTGTGATTATGATAATACTTGCATCATAAGGATCCAATGAATTAATATATAGAGAGTATCATTAAAATTTTTTTGTATTTTTTCATTTTTAAAAAGATTTTATTTATTTAGAGAGAATGAGCATGTGAGTGGGGGGAGGGGCAAAAAGAGAGGGGAGGGAGCATTTCAAGCAGACTCCATGCTGAGTGTAGAGCCCAACACAGGGCTTGATCTCATGACCCTGAGATCATGATCTAAGCCAAAATCAAGTGTCAGACATTTAACCAACTGAGCCACCCAGGTGCCCCTCTGATTTCATTTTTAATAAATTAGTTGAGTAATTTTACATAATAAGCAGTTAGAAGTTTTCAGAAATACGTTCTATTAGAAAAAGATTTCTCTCCCCTACTAAAAAACAAAACTGCATATAACTGAATCTAACAATTTTGAGTAACTACCAACACTTCACCACTATAAGAAGCATTGGTATTAGCAGCTAAGAGCTATAACTTAATTTTTTAAAAAATTGATACTTCAGGGGCACCTGGGTGGCTCAGTTGGTTGTCTGCCTTTGGCTCAGGTCATGATCCCAGGATCCTGGCCCCGCATCAGGGTCTCTGCTCAGCGGGGAGCCTGCTTCTCCCTTTCCCTCTGCCTGCTGCTCTGCCTGGTGTGCTCTCTCCCTCTGTCAAGTGGATAAATAAAATCTTTAAAAAAAATTGACACTTCAAAAATCATATCACTGATGTCAAAGACAAAGTTCTTCCAGGGACAAAAGAAAACCCATGGATACAAATTTTAAAACATAGGCATGAGAAATACAAATATAATCAGAGTTGGGTAAATCTTAGAATTTTTTAGAGAACAAAACACAACAAAGAAATGGTTTGGTGTAAAAACTGTGAATCAAAACATGGTACCTTAATCAGTTTCTGAGCATTTAATGGTCATTAAATACAAATGATAATATAATTTAAAATCTTTGGGGTCACTAAACAAATACACGGTATGAATCTTCTTCCACCCCAACTAACATCACCACATCCACCACCCTGTTAGACCAGTTTTGGAAAATCAGAATTCTTTCAACCACAGCTGGTGTGAATGCTAGTCCATCCATCTGTCCCTCTGCTCCCCTTTGACATATGACTAATTAGAAAATGAATGTGTGGAATGGTCTTTGAGGGGCGGCTGCAGACTCTCTGGATTTCTTGAACACAGCCCCTCTGCCTGTCTTACTGCACTCTCCAGTGCTTGGCTTAGCTCCTGTGGCCACACCAGGGCATGGCAGTACGTGGTGGTAAACTCCTTCTCACACAGTTAAGTGTGAGGAGTGAGGAAGGAAGAGGTGCCTGACTAAAGAAGTTCCTGGGAAAGTATTGTGTGGAGGAGGTGGCCTGAGAGGTCTGCTTTCTTTCTATGACAGAGCAGGAAGCTGCATATGTATCAAGGCCAACACACAGCTGGAAGACAGGATCACTTAATAAGGACTGGTATTTACTTATTTACTTAAAAAAAGATTTATTTATTTGAGAGAGAGCATGAGAAGGGGAAGGGTAGGAGAGACAAGCAGACTCCCCACTGGGCGTGGAGCCAATGCAGTGGGGCTCAAACCTAGGACCCTGGGATCATGACCCGAGCCAAAGGCAGATGCTTAACTGACTGAGCCACCCAGGCACCCCCCAAAATTCTTTCAAAGTTTATGGTTTGTGATGTTCAATAAACCTAACAGCTTACAAAAACTTCTCAAAAAATACACCTTTAGTATCTGATTGGAAATGGAGACCACTGTTACGTTATTTCTATTGGTAATATAAATCCACCTTTTCAACTATGAAGAACTTCACAAACACAAAAAATAGCAAGACAAATATGTGTATTACCACCATATAGAAGTAAAATATTTTATGTTTCTTTGTAGTTTTTATTTATTTATTTTTTAAAGATTTTATTTATTTATTTGAGAGAGAGAATGAGAGATAGAGAGCACGAGAGGGAAGAGGGTCAGAGGGAGAAGCAGACTCCCCGCTGAGCGGGGAGCCCGATGCGGGACTCAATCCCGGGACTCCAGGATCATGACCTGAGCCAAAGGCAGTCGCTTAACCAACTGAGCCACCCAGGCGCCCTCTTTGTAGTTTTTAAATAACATATACATATTTAGATGTGAAGCCAAAATCTCTGTAACCATCACCCCATCCCATTCTTCTTCCTTGTCCCCAAATCACCATCACGAATTTAGCATACAATCATCCAATCCTTTTTTATACCTTTCCATACATATCTATACCCATAACCAATACACAATCTAATGTTGTTTTATTCCAGTTCCAGTTAGAGATATTATTATATTATGTGCATCATGTGCCCTTTGATTTGTTTTTCACTCAAGATCATGGTTTTTAGATCATCCTTATTAATCCATATAGATATGGTTTGTTGCAGTAAATTGCTGTACATTATTCTATCATATAAATATAACACATTTTATTCAACTTTTACCTAATGACAGGCATTTCCAATTCCTTCCACCCCCAATATTTGGCTGCTAGAAATCATGCTAATAGTTTTGCTGCCAGAAATCAGCAAAGAACTTTATGGTACACATCTCTCTGTATTGTATTGGAGTTTCTCTAAGGCATAATACTAAAAAAAGAAATTTTGGGGTGTTTTGAGGTATATTTTAGGAAAATCTATTCAGGTTTACTAAGTCATTTTCCTAAAGTTTCAGATTTTTTTTTTTTACAGCGGATTTTTCTTTTTTCAATGTACGATATAAGGTAGGAATCTTTTTTTCTACAGAGAAAGGCAATAATCACCCAAAACATTGTTTAATTAGGTCATAATTTCTTTACAGAATTGAACTGTATGTAGGGTTCATATTCCATTCTATTAACCTAATATCTATTAATGCATATCACAAAGTTTTAATAATCATAACTATATAAAATTATATCTGAAAATATGTATTCCTTTTCAGTCCTTATACTTTGTTTTATTGCATTGGCTCTGGTCTCTAGGATTATACTGACTTGTGATATCAGGCATCCATGCCTTGTCTCTGACTTTAATGGGAATGTTTCCAAAGGTTCAGCATTAACTATGATGTTTACTGGAAATTTTGTTGGACTCAGGATTTTCATTATATTAATGTTTCTCCTCATAAGAATGTTCTGATATCTCATATTTTGAGCTCCTGCTAAAGGCTTTCCTACATTCATAATGTTTTACCCCACAATTAATTCTCTGATGTGTAGGAGGTGTAAGTTCCTACTGAAGGCTTTACTATCAAGGCATTAATATTATCATTAATGAGTATGAATTTTCTGATGCCTAACGTGGTGTGACTTCTGGCTGAATGCTTTCCCACAATCTCTACGCTGATAAGGCTTCTCACCTGTATGTGTTCTCACATGTAAAGCAAGAGCTGAGAATTAACAGAAAGCTTTCCCGCACTGATTACATCCGTAGGGTTTCTCATCTGTATGACTTCTCGTATGTACAGTAAGAGATGAGCTTTGTGAGAAGGCTTTCCCACATACCTAACAATCATAAGGCTTATCACCTGTGTGAATTCTCACCTGTACAAAAAGTGATGTATTTTGAGAGAAGAATTTTCCACATTTATTACACTCAAAGGGTTTCTCTCCTGTATGAATGTTGTGATGTTTAATGAGATATTGCTTCTGGCTAAAGGCTGTTCCACATTCATTACATTTAAAAGGTTTTTCTCCAATATGAATTTTCTCATGCTTTGTGAGATTTGATTTGCTGCTGAAGGTTTTCCCACATTCTTTACATGTATAGGATTTTTCTCCAGTATGCATTTTCTGGTGTTCAATGAGGCTTGACTTCTGAATAAAAGCATTCTCACAGTAATTACATCCAAATGGTTTCTCACTAGTATGAATTTTCTGATGGGTAATGAGATTTTCTATCTGATCGAAGGATTTTCCACATTCCTTACATTTGTAGGATTTCTCTCCAGAGTGAGCAGTGTGATTCTTGGTGAGGTATTGCTTCTGAGGTCTTTCCCACATTCATTACATTCAAAGTGTTTCTCTTCCATATGGATTTTCTCATGATCAATGATATTTGGTTTGTGGCTAAAGGCTTTCCCACATTTCTTACATGAATAAGGTTTCTTTCCAAAAGGAATTTGCTGGTGACTTACGAGGTTTGACATCTGAATGGAAGCTTTCTCACATTCATAAGGTTTAAATTTTCTCATGTTCTATGAAGTTGTGCTTCTGGCAAAACAGTTCTCCAAACATGTTACAATCATTGAGTTTTTCCACAGTTTGAATTTTCTCATATTCCTCCAGTTTGAGTAACTGGCTAAAGGTTTTCCAATAGCCTTACATGTACGGGTTTCCTTTGCTGCATTATTTCTCTAGTGACTAATAAGATGAATGTGAATATAAGCCCTCACATGGAGAAAGTTAGTTCATAGGGTTTCTCTCCACAGTGTATTCTCAGGTATTTGATGAGCTTTATTTATGAATCCCTGTTAATACAGATTTCAATTAGCAGGGGTTACTGCAAAATAGGATGAGTTATAATATACTTACAATATTCATAGCATTTCTTTATTACATGGATTCCTTCATAATATGTTAAGTCTAAATTAAGCTTTCAACTCTCAAATAAATAGATAAAAAATTTTAAGAAAAGAAAAGGAAAAGCAGATGGCGGGGAAAGGCATCAAACTGAAATCAGGGGGATTAATTTTTTTTTTTAAGAGAGAGAGTACATGCAAGTGGGGGGAGGGGCAGAGGAAGAGAGGCAGAGGAAGAGAATCTTTTTTTTTTTTTTAAAGATTTTATTTATATGAGAGAGAGGGGTCGAGAGAGCACAGCAGGGGGTAGGGGTAGAGGGAGAGGGAGAAGCAGACTCTCCACTGAGCAGGAAGCCTGATGCAGGACTTCATCCCAGGACCCCGGGATCATAACCTGAGCCAAAGGCAGATGCTTAACCGACTGAGCCACTCAGGTGGGGCTCTAGCTCATGACCCTGAGATCATGACCTGAGCCGAAATCAAGAGTTGGATGCTTAACTGACTGAGCCACTTTCAGGCACCTCAAATCAGGGGGATTAAATAAATGGTGGGTCCTCATTACTGTTGGACCTCCAAAATTCTGGTATTCAAGAGATGAGAAGGGGTGCCTGGGTGGCTCAGTCCTTAAGCGTCTGCCTTCGGCTCGGGTCATGGTCCCGGGGTCCTGGGATTGGCCCCGCGTCGGGCTCCCTGCTTGGTGGGGAGCCTGCTTCTCCCTCT